TCAGGGGGGAAACATAGGATCGTCTGCATTTTCATTTTAAAATGAATATATAATATTTGATACATACAAAATATACGTAACGTGTAAATGAGGAGTCCCTGGGTGGTGCAAATGGTGAAGTGAAAGGCTTGACTGGTAAGTGAAAGGTTTGCGGTTCAAATCCACCCAGAGATGCCCTGGAAGAAAACGCATTGTGATCTGCTTCTGAACAATCTGCCACGGAAAACCCCATGGAGCACAGTTCTACTCTGACACCCACGGGGTTACTACGAGTGAGAACTGACTTGATGGCAATGTGTTTTTTGATGTTGTTTACATATAAGTTATGAATTAATAAAATTGCAAGCACTCATGAATACACTGCCTATAAATGCACTTAATACTGAATTTCTATAAACTTCTAACCCCCCTCTCTAGACCCGAAAGAGCCAAGAAAGCAAATAGTTTTCCCTGACCGGAATTTCCAAATTCTTGTTTCTGAAAATGTCCTCCACACCCCCAGTTCAGCGGTTACTTTGGAAGTTCAATGATTTCTAGGTTCCCACGACAATGCTGCAGATACACAGACAGAAAGCGCTAGCACACCTCCACACAGAAGAGGACTGAACTGGTAGTTCTAGTCACACAGGTCAAATGTCAGATGAAACACTGAACACAAATCTAGTTCTCTGCTAGGCACCATTCTAGTATAAAGAATAGGCTGAACACTACTCTTAGTCAGATAAATGTAGCTTTAAAAAGCCTGCAAGGCTCCTCTGAAGTAAAACACAGGGCTCCACATATTTTTACCAAGTGTGACTCCTGCAAGCTAGGCTAGTTTTTAGGTTAACCAAAACCAAACTCACTGCCATCAAGTCAGTTCTGACTCATAGCGACCCCTCCTTGGGTTTCCAAGGCAGTATCTTATGGAAGTAGATTGCCCAATCTTTCTTCCGAGGAGTGGCTGGTGGATTTGAACCACTAGCCTTCTGCTTAGCAGTCAAATGCCTCAGGCACTATGCCACCAGAGCTCCCTAGTTTTTAGGTTAGGGATTTAAAAAGTGAATGAACACATTTTCTCCACATCATCTCATCTTAGAAAAGAAAGTGTGATGTCTATGGCTGCCTCTTTGAACCTTTCATGCAGCACTCGGGGAAAAGTTCTGGAAGCAGATACACAGGCTCCGGATGAAGACTCTGGTGCGCTGGGCACAGCATCTGTGCTCATATTCAAGTTCAGCACATACCAGCTTATCTGAGGCGACAGCGCTAACACTAAGACACGCAGACCCAGGGCATGGCATATGAATCTGGTTGTTTCTATTTGAAGAGGAGAGTGTTTATTTCCTCTAAAACACCTGTCACATCTGAGGCCCTGGAATAGCAAACTCAAGGAGGCCGTCACGGTGTATGCTGAGGGAAACATGAAGATTTCCAATCCAGCAGACCTCGTACACAAAGCCTAACCATGAAGCTGACTGTCAGCAGGAGCCCAACCAAGGGACCTGACTTCCGAGCTTCAGAAGTATCTTTATTTGTAAAACAGAAAACTGACCTTTCAGAGCTATCGTGATGATGAGGTGGGAAAACAAGTAGGCAAACATAGCCACGTTTCTCAGTAAGTAGCATCTATTGCTACGTATCACCGGAGCACACAGGCATGAGGTGCACACAGAGCCCTTTCAGTCTGATTTTTAACCTTCATCCTCTACCAAGAGAAAAAAGTTTAAAAAAAAAAAAAGACAACTCCTTATAACTTTAAAAAATCCAACAAGATAAACAGACGTAGTTAAATACACCCCTCCCTCAATATCAGCTGTACAACTGGAAAGACAAGTGCCCAGCAATGGCAGTAAGATGCTAACACAGACCTTCTCTTGCCCACTGTCCACTAGACCAAGACTTCATGAGCTATGTCAGGGCCATCTCCTAGGCTAATGAGCCCTTATACTGATATCTCTACCAAAACCCTTGGCTCAAAAAAGAAGGTGGGGACCAGGTTTGCTGGTCCAATAGAGCCTGGTGTAACCACTGAGACTATGGCCCCTAGCTGCCCTTCAGGTCTGGAATTGAA